AATTTCCCATTAATTTTCTAAGTGTCGCAATATTTGATAGCTCGACGTTCAGTTGTCCTCAGAAGGGTTTATAGTATTTTCCCCATTGGTTCATAATGTAAAATTTCATCAGCAAAATATTTTTTACCGGAAAACGTTTGGTGGTACCACTTATAAAATTGAACAATCAATTAAGGTGTATTTTGTATTCTTCAAAAATCCAGTGGAATGCGATTTTTTCTTATACAAAATTATTTAAAATAAGCACAGCCCTCACTACCCAAAATGTGTTATTAATATTTATCAAACCTTTCTGCAGATATTTATAATTTTGAATTTTTTAAAGTAATACGTTCTTCCATATTAAGGCAAGGTCTATTTAAATTAAACTGTTGAATTTACGGTACTTATTTCTAAGACCCTGTATATAGAACTCATTGATTTTGAAGACAAGTTCAAATTATTATATAAAAATTGCGAAAAGAGAAATATTCCTGCCTGTTTCTAATTTTATTTTAATGTGGTTTTAGGTGATTGTTATTGTGTCAGTAAAAACCATTTTAAAACCTGTTTAAAAGTTTTAAAGCACCAAATAGCTGTTTGATTGCGAATTCTAAAATGCATAATACAATACAATTAAATAAAAATAATAAAAACTGCTTGCAATTGCTAAACCTCAGTAACCACGTCCAGTTTGATTGTTGAAATCTATCATTTTTCAAGCTTAAATCAATGTTGTTGAATAATGCAACAAACCAAAAATAAAGGTTTCATTAAATATGTATTTTATTGAGTCAAATATATCGTTCATATCCTGATAAAACTAACGCTGTTTAACGTGTAAACAGCAAAAGTGATTATCTAGAACGCAAAACGACTATCGTCAATGCACCACAACCGCCACTCAAGGGTATTAAAACAGAATAATTGATACATCTACATTCCAAATGAATTTATATGAAAGTTGTTACATTTTTCAGGATGGAGTGGTTCTAGCTGTGACTGTTCATCCGATGAGAGCCAGTGCATGCCTCCAGACAGAAAGTTTTTATGTTCTGGACATGGAAACTGCTCATGTGGCTCCTGTATATGCCGTGAAAAGGAAGGTTACAATGGCAAGTATTGCGAGAAATGCACCAACTGTGATTCTGAAAGGTAAAATAAAAATAAAAAATAAATAAAAAGTAAGTAAGGTAAATCAAAAGAGGTACTATATAAAATGAAGGGATGTTACAAACAGGCGTGAAAGCGGTAACCTATGAAACATCTATGAAACAATAGTATTATTGCATGCACTCCAAGTCCAAAAACTATAGGAAGGGGTTTTGCTTTGCTCGCTGATCTCTCTCAGTACATATGTGAAATTTTTATTATAGATGCGAAAAGCTAAGACCCTGTGTAGAATGTGTAGTATATAAATCAGGAGCATACGCAAGTTCTTCAACTTGTTCTGATCATTGTGATATATTTACTACAAATATCGTTAAAAAATTAAACGACACCAAACGAGAAGGAGTGAACGTATGTCGAGTTCCTGTAGAAGATCAATGCACTGTAGTATTTGAGTACAGTTATGATGAAAACAATATGCTTTTCGTAACAGCAGAAGAAAAAATGACTTGCCGAATCATACCAGATCTATTCGGTAATATTTAATATCTGAACATTAAAATCAATATTTGATACCCATTTTCTTTATTTTCAGTTTATATTATCAGCGTCATAGGTACAATACTATTAATTGGCATCATTACAATGATCATATGGAAAGTTGTAACTACTTTTCACGACAAGAAAGAATATGCACGATTTTTAAATGAACGGGATCAGACCAAATGGAGCGCGGGGGAAAATCCTTTATACAAACCAGGAACATCTCATTTCCAAAATCCTGTGTATGGTAGGGCTAGTTATAGAACTTCAGTGGCAAACGCCGAAAAGAAAAACGAAATAACTAAAACTGAACAGTGAAAGCAGTAGAAAATATCGAAAAAGTTGCACTGAATCGTAAATATATCCATTTAGATGACTAAGGAATAAAGGTTGTAAAAGTATTTTCCTTTCAAGTTATATCATTTGTTCCAATTAATCTGGAAAAAAACACTTAATAGCTTTACAAGATATATAGGTACGAGAAAGACTCCAAGTATCAGAATATCCATCACATAATAGATGATCGAATCAGTGTTGTTATTGCAAGCAAATTGATTAATCTCAGAAAGTAAGCAGCTGAACTTCTGAGTTTGAACTGAAACTGAAAGTTATATTGAAAATAGTACTCAGCGCCGATAAAACCATTTGAGTTTGGCAAAAACAAGAACTAACAGTTATATAACAATTCAAACATTTTGCGAACTTTTGAAGAAACTCCTTATCAAGTAATGGTCCAAGATGAGCTACATCATCGCTACTGTTCTTTAACGTCTTTAGTAAAAGTAAGCGATGACTTCCAAACATGGCAAAAAATGAGGTCATATAGTGACTGGCTCTGTGATAAACTAAGATTTCAAGCGTTTAATTTTTTTTACCAATGAGATTTACAAACTTAATTTCATCCAAACATGACAAAAAATGAAGTCATATAGTGACTGGTTCTGTGATAAACTAAAATTTCAAGCGTTAAATTTTTTTGACCAATGAGATTTACAAACTTAATTTCATCTGAAAAATAACTTACAGAGTGATTTACGATCAATTCATGGAGATCGACAAACGCAATGCTCGATTTCTCTGAAAATGTATTTCGGTGTTTTTTTAAACACCGAAACGTTTTAAAAAAATTAATGATTTGTGAATTTGAAATACATGACTGAAACGCAGGAAAGTAAATTATTTCTTGAAATTGGAAATAGTCAGCAAAACTTACATGATGAATGGAAATGCTTGGGAATACAGCATTATGGAACAGATGGAGGAATGCAACCTGAAGAAAATATATAAAAAACTGAAGGCTAAACGGGCAAAGGAAAAAAACCGAAACAACTAGCCAGTTCCAAGAATCTTGCCCTTGCCCCAAAATTTATACACACAAACTGAAAATGGTGGAAAAACACCGAAACATTGTTAAAAAATAAATAATTTGGGAACTTGAAATAAATGACTGAAACGCAGGAAAGTAATTTTTCTATTTCTATTTTTATTTCTATTGTGCTCTCCGAAACAACACGTCCAGTTGAATGCAAATTTGAGCAATTATATATAGTTTTTAATTGCGGTATTTTATGTAATTATGCTTCATACATAAAGAGTATATTTTTCAAATTGTGCAATAGCTGCTCAAAATAAGAGCACTGAAACAAATATCATCATTTTCATCCGACTGTATGAAACATTTACTGTAATAATACTTGTAAATCAAATTTTAAAAGAAAAATGAAAATTACTTTCCGCTGAACCTAATACAGGAAACTTCGGTTAGTTTGGTAGAAGCTGCTCTTATAAGGAGTAGGAGTGAAATTTACGAAAAATATAAACACAGAATGGCATACACTTGACCCATCTTGTAAGCGGCATCAACAAGGTTAGGCAGACAAAACCATCTAAAAAAAATTCTGAAATCAAAGTTATTGAACAAAGTGTCTCAAAAACAAATTACTTTCACTAGAAAAAATAGGACATTGCGAAAGAGCCTATCAGTAGATAGACTCTTTCGAGCGTGATTGTCGAGTGAACTAAAAAAGACTGTGTTCCTGTGTGTCTCAAAATTGTCTTAATAGTTTTACTTGAGTTCAGTCGTTCAGTTTTTCCGACAACTTTTCCACTTTTAAGTGTACCGATCAAAATAAATTGATTTGCTTACGCACATTCGTATTATCGCGTCTATTATGTATTAGTCTTTTCTAGGGAGTCAACGACGAGTTATCTTGCCGTGTGTTTACTTGCCATTTTTATGCAACCGAAATATATCAGTGCTAATATCGATAGCGGGTTTCTGAGAAAAGAACAAAAAATCAATGCTGGATTGAATGAAGAGAAAAGTTATCAAAAAACGAACAAAAAATTAGTTCAAATTCAAGGAGTAAAATTAAATTTGATTTGTTTGTGAAACTTCTTAAAACAATCTCCCACACACAGGGCTGGGCTTCTCTTTACAGGCTGGACGAAAATAACGCGTTTATCGGCGTTTTTTTTTGCTTAGGTTTTTACTTATACGACATGGCTTTGTCATATGATGTTTTTTTCGGTAGGTGGTAGACTCTTTATATAATGGAGCCCTTGCAATTTACTATTTACTATTTTCTCCACCAATCAACGCTACAAATTATTTTCTAAACTTTATCAGTTTTATTTGAGAAGAAGTTACTTTTTGAAAAATTTTGTGAGCGATGTGTATATATATTTATATGCAATGAAGACATTTTTACACTTTTCGATGATAACCATGCAATATAATTATAGTTTTCAATGTGATTAAATGAAATTGTAATTTTATATATTCGCTCCAAAGCAATATCCTAAACATTCCCAATTTGTTGTACTGCCTGAGTCTTCAGCAAGAAAATGTTTCAACAATTCAGTCGAAACCCTTTAACCTTGCACATTCTGCTACGCCAGCTATCGAAGTTTTAGTCCGTGGTATTTCAAAAACGTGAAGAGTAAAAAAATTCCCAGATATTAATAAGTAATCAAACGTTTTACAATGCAATGAAATTTCAAACATGGTCAAAATATCAAATATAATCTGATATTTTCCATGAGTTTGTTATATTGAATTTACTGCGGTTTTTACAATTTACACTCATTTCGTTTCACACTGCTACAGGAGCGCTAAACTTCAGTTTTATGTTAAAGACTAACACTAATTTAGAAGAAAAACAGATTTCACATAGAATATAAAATTGATTTATAACCAACAGATTGTTCTCTTATACTTAACTAAACTCAGTTTCAATAGATTACACGAAAATAACACGAAATTTATAAAAAGGCATATGGAATTTTCGTTTGCCATATACTTGTTAAAGTACTAACTAAGTAATATCCATATAATACGTTAAGAGTACAAGAAAAGAAGACAAAACATTTCTTGAATATTTATTAATTTTACGTTGGTAACATATAAAATTGACGACTTATATTTACAGGCACTAAAATGTAAAAATATTTTCAGTTCTAACAAGCCGATGATATCATGGTTTACGCTATTTTGATTCAGTTTAAGTATTGTTTATCGCAAACCAATAATCATTACAGTGCATTATTTTGACCTTTTAAGGCAAAAAGTATATTTAATATTGCAATATTTACAGACTTAGTGGCAAAGCTGCTTATGATCTGCTTAACGGACTCATTAAATTCAATCAATATTCCGCGTCAGATTTTCTTAGCACTTTCACATAGCAGAAACAATCTAATAAATTCAACTTCCAATTTAACCGTCCGTGAAAGCCTACACAGTTTAAATTAATAAATTATTGCATATTTAATCCTAAGGCTCTAAGATAAGAATACTCAAATTATTTACATAAACTATTGAGAACAGTCATTGAGTATACTAAATTAAATAAGTTTACAATCTTAAAATATAAATTGGCCCACTACTGAATTTCTGATTTTTTTTAATATAACAATTTTTAATAACAATTATTGTTTCCTGTACTCCTATATTTTACTGCTGACAACAATTGAAACACCGCAGAAATTATCAATAACAATTACATGAAAAAAATAATAGGTAAATATTTGTGCATTATTATTGTATGGTTGATTTAATATCAAACATGAACAATAAAGTATATTACAAGAACGCCAACGAAATGAAAATATTTCTTAATTTTAGCCCTTTTCTGTCCTTTCAAGCATACATAAATCTGATTTCAGTCAAGACAATTAATCATAATTAAAATTCATAATTCTACACATAAATTTAAAAAATTAATGCAGTAAAATAGAGCCGCAATAGTAATTATCTAAAAAATTATTAAAATTAGAAGAGAATATTTCTTTCATTTTATTGGAAAACAATTATCTCACGACCTTAAATTACACAAAGGCTATTAAAGCGGAGGACAAAAACCAATGCTGTTATTATTCTCTACCTCACTGTATGTCTTATGAATTGATTAAAGTTTCGGTCTGAACGATCTGAAAAAACACATATACTTAATACATATGATTTTAACCATAAGCGGATGTTTGAATCGGTATATAATGCACATGAAATATTCACATAAGCAATAAACGATGTTTAAAGAATATGTGAACAGATCCAGTCGCTGCAGTGTTTGCGTACAAGCAGAACAATATTTCTTATTATTATTAAAAAATGAACTGTTAGTGCCATGTGGTGCTCTTTTAAATTTGGCGAAAACTTGGACACCATTGGATGTGGTATTGAGATAAGTCCTACAGTACAAAATCGTATTACAGAATTTAAAAATTTGCGTGAATTATTTAAAAAACATTAAAATTAAATGTTAACTTTGCCAGCCTGTATCTCAAAAATGAAACCGTTTTCAATATATGGTTGTATGATAATTTCGACTTAAAATTGGATTTTCCATCGATCGTTAAAGTCCTGCTACTGTAAGCTGAGTCACCCTGTATATTGGCCGTTGCTTCTTAAAATCTGAGGCCCGATATAAAACTGCAATATGACAAAATATATTGGCATTAAGATGGCAAGAAGTTTCTTTTTGGAAAATGTTGTGAGCATTGTCTATATATGTATATCTTTATATGCAAGGAAGATCTTTTTTATGCTTTTTGACGATAACTATGCACTAGAATTAGAGTTTTTAATAATATAATGTTATCAAATAAAATAGTCATTTTTGGCCAGATTTTTTTAAATTGCCGTGACAGTCAACGTTTTAAATCTCAAAATATTTGCTCCAAAGCAGTATCCTAAACAACCCCGATTTTTCAACTGTTAAGTGACAAATTTGATCAACCCTTCCAGAACTATCTTACCTAATTGAACTAATAAAAATAATTTGAACAGTCTCAGTCTCCAACAAGAAAAATTTTCAACAATTCAGTCGAGACTCTTTAACCATGTCGACCGCCATTCACATTCTGCCAGGCCAGCTATCGAAGTTTAGGTCCGTGATATTTCAAAAACGTGAAGAGTAAAAAAAATCCCAGATATTAATAAGTAACCAAACGCTTTACAATGAAATAAAATTTCAAATATGGTTAAAATATCAAATATAATCTGATATTTTCCATGCGTTTGTTGTTTGTTGTTATATTGAATTTACTGCGGTAGCATGAAAATATTGAAGACTAACATTAATTTATAAGAAAAACAGGTTTGTCTATAGACACATCTAAATTCAACATATTTCAAAACGGGCCACCTTAAATATCTTCTAAAACTGAGTAAAAAATATGTAAAAATACACCGAGTTAGATTTGCCAGGACGTGTTAAAGATACGAATAAAGCTCCTTCTGTCCAAGGTATTCTAGCAAGACCAATCTCCTCTACATAGCGCCCAAATTTTCACCAATTTCTTAAATAGCACGTAGGAATCCGAAAGGAAAAGCGACAACAAAAGTATTATTTTATGCTCCGGACTTGATTCCAATAAATTTCTTTCTACGCGAACATTTAAGTAAATATTAGTAAAGTTTGTCAGTACTAAGTTTGTTACTAAAAATAGTTTTTTTGCACAATTAAGTTTTAAATTAAACGAAAATGTAAAACAACATTTCTCAGGCTTGCCGCACAATTTCACCGCCCATTATTTAACGAATAAAAATTTTAGGCGGTTTAAAATTGATGCCAAATTCGTTTGAACATTATAACTGAATGTTAACTCAGTTTGAACATTTTAACTTTAAGCGTTTTATTGTTATTTTGTCAAAGTTTCTAATATTTTCATTTCCACGCATCGACGTCGATAATTTGAAAATAAGAATCTGGTATACTAAGTGAAAACGTGTCAACATTTTCCGATTATCAAGAAATTGAACACATGAGCTCAAGATTGTGAAAATCTACCCAAGAGCCGAAAAGTTATCCCTACAAGACTCAAAAAGAGAAAATTTTATTTTTTGAGAGCACCCTGTAAATTAAAGAGATGGTGAAACACAAAACCCGTCTCGGACTATTTGATTTACCTCTGGACTTGTGTTGTTGAGATCCAAGTAAAACCTTTATTGCCCAACTAGCAGCATGCCAAAATTTTTGCAATTTTGCATTTTTTTCATTCATCACCCAGTAGAAAATTTATCTGAGGCGATTAATTTTTACCGAAAGATTGACGAACAAAATTTAAATGGGGCTCAATAACACTTCAAGTAGAAACCAAATCGCTCTAAGCAATCAGAATTTATACTGATTCAAATGTAGAGCAAATTTGGCTCGTTAACGTTTATTTTGTTAAGCAGTTCAGTTACAAGTGATTTGATTGCCAGTAGAGACTAATTCCTAAAATATTATCAAAACCTCAAAACGTTGCTAGATGAATATTTATGCAATTGGTTGTTAAGTGAAATGTACAGTTGGTACCGCACTTATTGTTATGGCGTTAGCGTATATAAATAAAACTGATTATACCTTACTGGATACCGTGTTTCGCTTATTGCAGTAACTGCATACGAAAAAAATCTGTAAATATTTTTGCGGTCGAATAAAGTACTGAAGAAAATATTTGTATTTATCTAAGATAATGCATGTGATATTTATATTGAAAAGCTGCCATTCCTGTATCGACGACCCAAAAAAGGTTAGCCGCATAACAAAAACAAGTTTTCACCAAGTACTTAAGAGCATACTGTTTAGTTAGAACACAATTACTTGTAACGTTTGGAGACACATAAAATCGTTAAAGCGAAACTTTGTTAACATTTGAAATCATAAAAATGTTAATTGTTATAAAAATGAGTAAGCACTTATTAATTGAATTACAAGAGTATTAGTTTAGACCGCTGATCTACAATGCGAAAATGCATCAAAACCAAGGAAAAATACATACTTTTTGTACGAACTCATTTGCTAAACATGCTTCGAAACATTGCTTCAAACCAGTTTGTGCTATAAGTTGCTTGTTCAATCACTTCATTACACGAATCATCCTCAAACCTACCAAAACCAAGAAATTTATAAGTAAACAAATCGTGTAATATTGTTAAAGTTCCCCAATGCAATAAGTTGCTATTTCTTATTGTTACTAACATAACAAAACTCTCATTGACAAAGGTATTATTGCATTGAAAGCGTCTGTGTTATCGAAAAAAACGTTTAAATATACGAAATATTAATGATTTTTAAACATAAACTAATGCAGAATGAGTGAAGAGTTTAAAAGTACCTACATATTTAAAAGTACATATAAAAGTTAATAAAATTATTTTTTTGAAAAACGTGAAGGCGATTTATAAATGAAGCAAATAATTCGAGACTCAAGAACTACGCAAGTGTTGAAGAAACATCACAGCTGATGTTTCTTTCTCCAATACTTCAAGTTCTTACCTTAAGAACCTGAACGAACTGTGAACGTTATGTCCCAATATCCCAAGGGCATGATTATTAACACAAAAACAGATAATACATGCAATTTTGAAGCATTTAATTCAATAAATTTGATGAAGGTATAGGAACAGAACAGAACGGAAGACAAAACATTTGAAACGAAAAATGAATATGTACCCCATTTTGCTGAAGATCAAAAGTGACTATGGTAGAGTGCCAGTAAATTACACGTAGATACACTTATATCGTTTCAAATTAGGCCGGTAAAAAGTAAAACTATTTCATAAAAATTTACTTTTCTCTCATATTTCTCCAGCCAAAGCCAAATTAAGTATATAAACAAATTTATCTGAGGGTACCACAATTTTGTCAGTCCTGTGAATTAGATACAGGACGACAATCGCTAGCAACTTCTAGGCCGGTATGTTTAGTCGATCTTCGAAACTTCGGAGATTGTTTTGAGTGATTTGGCCGAGCGTGCCGACGTCGACGCGAAAGCGACGGGTTCTGATGCAAAGCTGTTTCTTATTAGGTAGAATCGCCGACGATTCTCCCATAGAATGAGCATGCGCAATATCACTATTCTGGTGACCCTCGCCGTCCACATTTACAGTGATATTATTAATTTACCGATAAAATTTCGGCTTTGCTTGATGTTTATTTAGTTCGTGAAGTCGTTTTAAAAGTCGGCGGTGGAACGCAGTAAAATGCAGAAAAGATAAGGGCTTTCCACTGCGGATAGTGGCCTCGAAGGATGAGATATTGTATAAATAAATCACAAAATAACAATTTTATCCTAGAAGACATATTAGCGGTGCCAGCCGTTATTAATGTTGAGAAAACCAACCAATAATTCCGAAACTTCTTTTCTAAATATTAAAAAAATGTAATGCAGTAAAACTTTGTTTATTAATATTATTTCAACAACACTTCATACATACAAGCTTGAATTTTTATCACCAAGTAGGAGCTCAGAATAAAATTAATTAAAAATATCTATTATCAAAAGAACAGGCAGGCGTCGATTTGTGATTTGTTCCTGGCGATTGATTAATGGCAACAAAACATTTTGCACAATTTCCATTGAGGAAAGAAAGTGTTTTCTAAAATCGGCTTCAGTAAAATTCTCTAAGGTATTTTCCATATCTCGAATATACCTATGAAAATAATAAAATTATTATTTGAATTGCATATCACGCTTGTTGATGTTTCCTTTACGTACCTTTGTAGTATGTTCAAATCTAGTTCCAAGATCGAATTATAATATAACACTGTACAATACATCGAGATCGTTATCTAAATATTTAAAACAGAAATAGTACAAAAAACACGAGAAGTTGTAAACTTTCGCTCACAAAATAGGTTTGGCGATTGTTCGGAGATGCTTACTCCCATCTCCGACAAATTCCCACCGCATCGCCCAACAACATTAAAATGCGCGTGCGTCAGATGTCCAACCGATCGGGCGTGCAACCAAAATTGCGTCCCGCGAACGTCGGGACGCATCGTCAAAGATCGACTAAACTTAAAGCAGCGTCTACAGAAAGTCGTGCGTGTATTTAAAATAAGGAGTTCCATTTTCAGCGTTAAAACTGTCGCGCTACAACAGTCGCTCGTTTGCGGGTGCCCTTACAGTTTCCGAAATGCTAATGTTAGTGTTTCGATATACTTTTCAAAGTATAAATACAAACAGCAGCAGGCAACCGATGTTGTGAAACCACATTGTGTCCCGTTTGGACAAAGCTGCAATTACGATTGAGAAGTAAGAGTCCCCAGAAGAAAAAGTCGGCACATTAAGCTAAAGCTTAACACTTAAGTAACAATTCCTGGCTCAACTCCAAATGCTTTGAGCGAACCCAAAATCAATGCATGATGGCCAATGCAAATGATTGGTGTTTACAAACTAGAGTATAACAATCAGTGCCATATTAGAAAATTTATTTCCAAACTTAATCACAAACATTCCACTAAGGCTTTAGTTTGCATTCCTTAAAGCGCCTTCTAAGCGTGTTAAAGACGATTTACAAGTGAGTTGGAACAAACACTAGAATATGTATTCAAAGCTGCTCTTTAAAACAACTGTAGCAATGAGCATAAATATTATAAATATTATTATTATTATACTGTAAGCATAAAAATTATGCCCGTTTTTCTTGCGTAAATAATATTCTAACCAGTCAGATCTTCTTGGTGAAGTGTATGTTTCTGTAGTGTTAGACCTCAAACACTCCAAACTTTGGGATTTAATCCTCCTGTGAATTCTAAAACATTTTTCTGTTAAACAATAGTTTTACAGGCACATTTCGTCATTGCCTGGCGTCAGTATGGCTTCCAAAGTTTAGGCAAACAATAGAGAAACGTATTTTCACAGAACGAAATCAGTAATTGAACAAACCATATCAAACAMGGTCATTTCGCCACACCACATGCTAYTATCTAACTGGWYATTGATAATTTTCGCGAGTTCAACTACCGATGGTGGAGCTGCGAAMSGTCAAATTACTCGTTGTMGAGTGAMAGTTGAGACTTGTTTATTTATTGGAGTTGATGGCATTTATAACATAAAACAATACCTACACACTTTTCGATATGTTTCTATTTATTTAAAAAGCTTGCAAAAATTGWTTAGAACCAAAAAAAGCAAATTACAATCARATGTAAACATCATTGTCAACAAAACAAGTATCAAATTACTACTTAACTTGTGGTTATAATTTTAACCACCAGGGGACGTCTGGACTTTTGAACTCGCGAATAACTATTCTGGAAGCATGCCCAACTTACCAAACTAAAATACTTCATTGCTCATTGAATCCAATCGGCTATCTACTGTCCAGATACACCCAAATAACTACTTCCTATTTCCCTCTTGAAAAGTTATAAAGCAGCATCTATAATAGAATTTATCAAGGAATTTATGTCCGAGCCTAAAAATCTTGTCAGATGTCGAATTTGATAGTTTTGCAGCCATATTGATTTTTGTTTAATGGAAATATAAATATTTTATATTTTCACACCATCGGATATTCGATTATTATTTTTAAGTGTCTCCCCAATTTACTACGTCCAGATTATTATAGTTACAGATTTCTGCCTTTAAATCAATTTGACGTTAAAACTGTCAAATTTGACATCTGAATATATTTCTAAATTCGGACCTAAATTCCTTTATAAATTTTATTATAGATACTGCTATAAGATTTTTTGGATAGGTAATAAGGACGTAGAAAATTGGATGACACTAAACAAAATAAACGAAATTCAGAGAATCTATTAGTTCATTTGTCAAGAACCGTCAACTCAAAGAGTATGTAATTATATTATTATATATTTCTAAAATCGACCAACTATCCGATGGTGTGAATAAATTACATTACGGTACAAGCGACGAAAGTCGAACTTATGCCACTGCGTGAAGTTGGTCATTCATGCAGTGGCGGCCCTTCAACTTTCGTCTCGTGTACCGTAATGTAATTAAAAGTAATTGTAATTAAAAGTAAAGGTAATTGTAAGTTTTGAAAAAAAACGGCTTTAAAAATGTTGTCAAAAAAACTGTCTGCCGACAGTCAGAGACACAGTTGGCAGAAACAGTTGAGCTGTCAGAAGAGTGCGTGGCAAAAGTTCTTCCTTTCCACACTGGATGAAGCAAATTTAATTGAATGATGGGAGRAAAGGTAAATTGTCATTGTCATATAATAGTTAAAAGTTATTCTTTCGCTATCGAAAAAAGTGGCGAAGCTGTGTACTTTCCACCAGGTGATCAASAAAGATGCCGTCAATAATGTCAAATTTGACATCTAGGAAGATTTCTAAGYTTGAATCTAAATTGCTTGATAAATTCACATCACATATTCTGCTTTAAATCTTTTCCGAATGATAATAGGGAAGTAATCATTTGGGTGAAACAAAAAAATGTCMGTTTAACAGTGGCAKGTTCAGTAATTGGTTCTTTAGWCGTGTTATGTTGATGATTTGCAATCGGACACTTCGGCGCTTGTTCTATAGACCCGCATTTAACCAAGTCGGGAAAAGTAATTTCGGTACTTGAAGWTCCGAGAATCAGACATGCTTCCGCGTGTTTCAGATACGACTGTTTGAACCAGTCGAAATGGCGWYGAGAAGGAAAAAACGAAACCAAACCTTCTCCCATAGGTAAGATTAAAAATATGATCCTTGATCCACGAAGCAGAAGAGAAGAATGCGAGCAAGAAGACAACTTTAGCTTTATCAGAACTAAAATGAATGCTAGGGATGCTCTTTCGGAACAGAGAGTGTGAGAGCTAACAATAGTTGCAGACTGGTTTATCGAAAGATATTATCTATGTGAAGTAACCAAAAGCATTGAAGGAATTAACGGCCGAATTAACGAATTGTAGTCTGTAGTGTTGAAGAAAACCCAGGATTGTCGATCTTTGGAATTAGACATTCCACAAACGACCTTACACCGTATTTCGCATAAAGACTTAAGTCTTAAAGCTTTTAAAGTTCAGTTAACACAAGAACTCAGGCTTTAAAGATCGAATTGGTGAAGTTATCGAGAACATACAGCCGCAAATGTCAATTGCTCATCGAAAATTTCATGAGATGAATATGGTGCTGCAAGCGGAGCCATGGTGGCCATTTGGCTAATATCGTTTTCAAATGTTAGTGGCATATCTTCCTCTTTACAACGAAATAAACATTCATTAATATCTCTTAAAAAATACTAGTTCTTTTAATATCAAAATGAAACTCCTTATTGGAAAACCCTTTATATGTAGACATTTATTGGTTCCTTGAATGTATTATTCTAAAAATGGACAGTTAGAAAACCTCTGCCGCTGAAGTCATTGTAATTATACCAGCATTCCAATAAAAATAAAAACTATGTGTTACCGTACCAACTACTGTCTACATTGTAAATTTGTAAAAAATTGAGTTATTTAGTTTTCGTGCATAACGGTTAGATATACTATTGTTAGCAATGCTGCATCATGATTCAGGCAGATAATAACAAACACTGACAGTTATCTTCATATTTTAAATGATCGAGGAAGATTTAAACTGGAAACTAACCGATACTTGGCTGCAATTTTAAAAGTTATATTTTCTGCTCATAGCAAATTACTGCAGTCCAATTAATTCACAACAGTAAAAATAATGAATATTGTTAGCCCCATTGACCGACTTTAAAAAATAAAATTAACACAAAATAAAAAAAACTTAACCTACCCATCAATGTCTCCTAGTCCAGGAAAAACCTCTTGAATTCCGCTGTCCTCGGCGAAAGGCTTTTCATTCGTGTCAGCAGTAGGATTTTCTGCCGGCAATTCAGACAAGCCACGGTCATCACTTGACGGTATTTCGACAGTTTCTGATGGGCATGGACGATCTCCCACATTGTCAATGGACCCAAACGTCATAACTGACATTTCAGCGAAATTGAATTGGCATTGTGTTTCTTCTACAAGTGGTCCGAATGTTGTTGCTACTGAATGACTGGTTGACATTGCAGAAGCTTGTTTCGGTAAATAAACGGATTGAGATAGATCCGCAGCCTCACGATGAGCAGCAGATATCGGTTTCAACTTAACTCGGAAGAATTTAGCTCCTTTTGGAACTTTGTAACGATTCTCACTCTGAAAAGTACCAGGAAAGTTTTACTTAATGATTTTTTTTACTAAAAGATACTAAGTAAAACGCACATCGGATTTAAATGAACGAATGCAATTGTCTATTTTTTTTAAATATTTTGGCAATTAAAATTATTTGAATTTAATTAGAATTTATTTTTTATCAGGAAAATATATATCGTGTGCTTCAATTTTACTACGTCACCTCACTTATACCTAAATATGCAGAGTGGTCCATAATGAATACGTCACGGTGTAATTGCAGACTCTGGATGTCAAAATAATRCGATCTAACCAAACATGTAAAATATTGTTCGATTAAGATGATACGRACGATTAAAGTTCCTATTTAAATTTCAAATTTATTCTACAATTTATACAATTTAATTAAATGGCGCAAAAAGTTGAAATASTGAGTTGTTGGTGGTAAKAAATTCAAATTTAATCTTCAAGGCATGTGCTATGGGGCGCTATGCACTCTATGCTGTTTGGTTATTTTTAGTCAACACTTTTAAATMGAAATKTCCTTCTATAACTGAGTGAAAGTTTCCTTGATCTCAAATTTGATTGTTTCGCCAAGTCGTAAGCGTTTAGAGCTAATTCGTGTATTTTCTGCTACTCACACTAAGATTCGACATAAGATTTTGGACGACCCGCTCTATTCTTGAGAATATGTTCACTGATTTCACGCAATCGCATTAATAACCRCTAACAATTTTCATTGTGTGGTTGCATGCGGTACGAATATAATTCAAAATATGTACTTTCTTCTCAATTGCATGGGGCATAAAGACAAAATACCGCGTAACAAATCAAAATTTATAAATTCGTTGTGGCACTATCTTCCTTGGTTGTGCGTACAGCAGCTCTTTAGTTAGAACCGGGTATGGATTCTATAATTATGGCTATAAGAAATTAGAGAAAGATAGATAGACAATAAATTAGACGTGAAATTTAGACGCTACTTGCTTTTTTTATAGAACGATAAAATACTGAGGGAGTACAAGAAACTCAATAATCGAAAGTCATTAATGTCTTGGGATTGGAGAATAAAAATACAATAACTCTGAAACTTATTTCTATATACAAGGTACCAGGAAATGGTGCGACCAACACTTCACGCGGTAATTCTAGAACAAAAATTAGCGGGACGAGTTATAGGAACTTGTTACTAAAATGATCATACGATTTACCAGTGGCCTTCAGATAACGCCACTCCGAAGACAGAAAATGGAAATAAACCGATCATGGTTTGGCAAATGTTATAACGCCTAGTGCTTACTTCGTAAAATTTGACATTTTTAAGGATGGGTCAAACCTATGTCCCATGCATCCGTTTATACGAAAGTGTTTCTATTGGTTGGAGATCTGTCAGTTCGTACGACGTCGTACGAACGGACTCTCCTTTGTTAATAATCGCCCTGTATATTCAACATTATATATAAACAAACCGACCAAAATTACATTAAGGGCTTCTTCGACTACTTATAAAACCCAAATTTCATGGTTCCAGAGCTATTAATTCCACTTTAAGATTTATGTCTGTATTCGAATAATAATGTAATTATTCTTACCTTTCTTGTTTGGCAATATTCCCTATCTACTACTTCTCCCAGGCAGTACAATTTATTTGGTTTACCTTCCGTGACTAATAACCCAAGCTTTTCTAAACAATCTGAATGGGGAAAATATGTATGTTTAGACTCCTGAAACAAACGGCATTATTAATTTCATGTTTACTTTTTCGATTAGATAACCTTACCTGCAATATTTTAAAGTTTTCATGTACTGGATCCCACAGCAATAATACGACATCTCCTATTTTGCAACTATCAATACTTAACCGATGTGGACGAGTTGATGTTTCACTTCTGCTCATATCTGGTATTGCTGGAAAAGCTTCTAAGGGGCTTGTAGCTGCATCCATTTTTCCTAATTAATACGAAATATGTAGACATTATATCTGGGAGAAATCACAAAACTGACTACATACACATTGTTAATTTGTATTATTGTCGATATATTTTATTGAAATAAACTCAATCCGTAACTCAGATTGAATTACTTACAGATACGGATTACTAGTTCGGAATCAATTCTGTTAAGAGCACATGAGGTGTTAAATTGCCCATTATATTTTCACGATTTCGAAGATGTTTTTTCTACTATTCAAACAGTTACAAAAACCGCACTAAAATAATCTTCATTGCAAATTTCCGACTCACTACTGTTCCAAAGTGTCAGGTTTTCCACGAAATACCAGGATTGTACAAAAGACCATCCAAATATCCTAGCGAACGAACTGCTCAGCAACATGACCAGACTGCAGAGTTTCAAACTTCCAGGGTTGCAACTCTCAAGTTCAAGAGAACGATCACATCGCTGATGTGAGTATTTTAATGAATACTTAGTCGCTTGAGAGCCCCGCCTACTTCTTGCATGAGAACGCCGTTCCCCGGTTTCGAAAATTCGGAGCCAGACCGTTTCCACCCGTTTTTCCTATTACAATTTTTGTGTGTGTGTCGTCCCATACTTTTAAGCCCTATTATATATACCTATACTAATTATACCTTTACTAATTGTTAACTCATGAACAGACAAAAATCGTATAATGGTGAACAGAGTGGATAATAGCTATTATCAAGAATTTGACATGAAAAACACTGGATGGACTCGGTCACATCAAACATCTAGAGTTCAATTGGCATTGTACATGGAAGCTTGCTTTCATTCACGTCTACGATGGCAGTTGTGTTACTAATAGCGAATCTTTTGGTGCCGACTTTATCAATCGGTTCATTTGATATCAACTTTCAACCGACCCAATGGAAATATCAAAAACGAATTTAAATAAGGACTTTTCAAAATACCTTCATACACAGCCACAGATGTTGTCATCAACGCACTTTTCTCGCCAGTGAAACTAGCGAGCTGATCTTTGAGCTGCTGATTGTCTCTTTTTAGCAACTCGATTTCCTCAGATTCAGAATTACTGCGTCTTTCAAATGGAGGCTGCGAAGCTCCAAGTTCTGAAAAGTGCGGTTGCCCCAAAGTACTATCGACATCCGACCTGTAAATAAATAATTAAATTTCCATATTGGCAGCATTATTATTCAATGGATACCCTTAACTTCATTTAGCTTATAGTAGTGAGAGCTACGTACCAATGCCTGGCATGGTAGAAGTTTGGGATATAGAAAGACATTTTCTTTATAATAAATAAATCACGTTGAACTCGATAATAATCGGTGACTAAAATAATCCAAGGTTACTTCTGTCTACGTTTCTTTGCGCTTCAGATTTAAAGGGATAAAACTTAGCAAATAAGTAGCAAATAATCCATATATTTCTTCTATTGCCCAAGCAGTTAATTCTCGCTCTCTTCGAAAAAAAGTGTACGGAATCAGAAATACAGGGTATCAATTTTTTTAATGGTCTTTCTCAAACAGGCGATGAACCACTAACAGTTTTTTTGTCTATTTTACTTTGGCTTGTCTAAATCGAACACTACTTCTAGGTACTACTACTCATAATGTTGGCTAATTAGCAAGCATTTTAATATAACTACAGCACTAGAAAATAGTTTTGAACAAACCCTTGAATGTTGATACAAACGATTGGTTTCTTTAATAAAAAATTTGTTTGCTTGCTTATTTAGTTTTAATCAAATGCAAACAACAAAAATAACATAATAAAAAATATAATTTAAGTAAAACATCCCAACTTACCGCTCACTGTCATTTATTGTAATAGAAGCCTGCTCAATTCTATCCACAATTGCACTATCCTGTTCCAATTGCTTTTCGATATCACTTAAAATCACTTCATCAGGCAGTTTACATGTTGCATCTAGGCCTAATGAAACTGTTTGATTGCAACCGGTTGCAGTCTCTGAGCATTCTGCACCTTTTTCGAGCGAAGGGTAATTCGCTTTTTCAGGTATGGCATTGACCGGTTTTACTTTAACCAAAAAAAACTTGGTCCCTTTAGGAATGTTTAAGCGGTTTGTCTCCTGGAACATCAATTTGAGTGTGAAGTTAAAGGAAAATTTGAAATTTTACATTCAGAATTCAAATAAAGTGGTTATTACAAAATATGTTAATAATTGGAATATTAAGCATAGCTTTTTATATAAATTCTATACTTCTCAGGACTTTATTGCGCAACTCTGTCAACTCTTTAATGCTGAATGAAATAACGAAATTAACAACATTGAAATTGTGTTTTTGTGGCATTTTTATCATCAGCAGAAAATAATACTACTAACGTGTCTTTAAGCGTTAACTACCGGGCTGCAAACCTTTCGAAAAACAATAAATAATGGATTACAAAGAGATTGAATGCCGATGTCTCCATCCATAAAAATATTTCCAGTTCATACAATATTGGCATTAGGCCAATAGAACAATTTCAAATATCTCCATAAAAACACTATACTTGCAGCTGAAGAACTCATAAAAATTAAAGGTTCTATTGCATGTAATTCGTGCGCAATACAAAATGACTTACAAAAATGTATAGTTTGAACCAATAATTGCATGCAATTCGACAGTAGACCGGGCGTTATTTTTTTTTTCTTCGGGGATTTTCTTTCGCCCGAGATGAAAATTTTCAATGTAAGCTCTAGAAACTCGCGCAAAAAGGAATTGGAATATTTGCTGCTCATGCACTGAAATGCTTGTATAATTATAAACTTATTGACGAAAGATATCCGACTCTGCGACAAATTCCAATTATGACACCGGAAAGCTTTATTAGCATTTTTTGATGCTATTTTAAATGAATAAAAGCTTGTCCAGCTCAGCAGTCAAATGTGCCAAGCTCTAAAGATAAGATTAATTGAATTAATTTAAAATTAATCAAGTGTTTTTGACAAAAGATCCAACAAAATTGGAAAAATACAGAGAATATGCTCTGGGTTAGAAATAGTTTAAAATCTCAGTGCGAATGATGCAGCTGAGAGAGGAGTAAAGTTGATAACTGAGTTCAGCAAGGTTTTTGACGGTTGTTGCTTATAACTTTGTTTATCACCACACAGACGAAAAATAAACGTACCACTGGATTCAGCAGCATGGAAAAATATACAATTTGAAACAAAATTTACCGATTACGGTCGCTCTCGCCCAATTTATTGTATTTTTTCACTCATTTTTTTAGTTTTCCAAGTATTTTTGCTTATTTAATTTTTTGACGATGTCAAAACTGATGGTTCCATTCGATCCAGCAGCTGAAAATATGTGAGAAAAAATAGCCTCAATAGTGAAAATCCGAAATTTAACCCGGTTTTTATAAGGATAAACAAATTAACACGTTTTTTCAATTTAAAATCATTGGAAAACTTGACGTGCTGTGAGGCATGTAATGAATCGATTTCAAAAATCCAATTCGGTTTTGCTTTAGAGTTTCTAGAGCCTATAAAAAGATTTGCATCCAGTGGTTACTAGTGGCATGGACAAAAACCTGTATTTACTTTTACCACATAAGTTGCTCTATATTCTAAATGTTTATTTCACTTTTTTATTATTCAATTTGATGATGCTTAATACATTTTCGCAAAATTCAAACTTTCAAGATATGGTGACTTACCTTCAAAGTTTCACATAACTCTTTATCAATAACCTGGCCAATGCAACGTGTCTTGTTTGGTTGACCTTTAACTATATTCAATCCAAGATTTGCTAATGAATCAAAATGTAAAAAATACAACTGTTTTGAATGCTAAAAATAATAAAGCCTGTTGAAGTTGATTTCTAGGTGTTACCATATAAACTTCATACCTGATAAATTGTATAGTTCTTATACACTTCGTCCCAGCATACTAAGACAAGCGCTCCAATCTTAAAACCGTTAAAATTCAAATCATCAGCTTGACCAGTACCAATTTCGCTTTTAGTAAGACCAGCGAATGTACTTTCCAGTTTCTTTTCTGCTTAAACATGTAGTATGAAGGAAGGTCTTACGTTTTAATGTTTTAGTAGAGTAATGTAGATTATATTTCTATGGATATGTAGTTATAAAAAAAAATTGCATTGTAAAGCAAGTTACGTATTGAAATTTTACATCAATAAGGGAATAGATGTAAAATTATTATCTGTTAGTTTGGGATAATTAAAGATTTTTTTAATTAACTAAAATTATGGGAAACTTATTTTTTAAATTAGTAGTATCCTGGATACAAAAAAAGTTGTAAAAGTAATCAAAGTAATACGTAATGACTTCGAAAATAACTAATTGTGCAATAATAACGATAAAGTTCGCTTTATGCTTAAAATTTCATTGTACCGGATGAGCAACCAAGAGAGGTCGTCGGCTATAATTCACAAGCTAATAATAGTACAGGGAAAAAATTGTTAACAAAGTGACCAAGAAAAAATGTATACAATTTTTGCCCATATGTACCTTAATACTTTTTCATTTATAATTAAATTCTGAAACGGATTTTACAGTAGTTGCTATAATTTAATAGAAATATTTGACTGGTTCTTTTAAAATAAGCCAGTCTGTATGTTTTCGATATCTGTTCAATAGATATGTAAAAATAATTGATGAATTATGGAGGCAATGCAAGCGACAATTTTTAACAGATTTTAAAGATTTTTTTAGAGCACGTTGAAATAGTATTGTACTTCTCAAAAAATGTCTCGTTTTTGTGTTTGACACATTCTCGTGTCTAGTCAAAGGAAGAAACCGAGCAGATTATTTATTGCTCGATAAAAAGGTTGTTATCTCCGGATTGACTAAATCACACATTTTACCATGTTCCTGAAATATTTAATGAAATTCGAGGCAATGTAGGGTCGCATTCACTTAACTTTTACTTAACGTTGGAGCAAGCTATGAAAACTAACAAATATTTATATAAACTGACGCTGGTATTCGTTATTTATTAGACGGGTTTGGGAGACCAATTTCAGCTTAAACGATGAGTGGTTCAAACTTTTTGAGAAAAAAGCGAGAAATATTTTTTCGATGCCCCCATTTCCAAAGTTTTTTAGTTTTATTAATATACCTTCTAAGCTCCAGATAATTAAGAAACACTCGAAAAATAGTATCGTTCTTAAATAAATAATTTATGTTATTTGGATTTTGTAGCATCCTTCAATAACTAATGTGGGGACGAATTACATCACTTGCTTGAGGATTGGACCGCAAACTTTATCATATACTCGTTAGAGAGGTATTACTTTCATTACTTCATGGTAAATAAATAGTTACCGTTATCCACAAATGTTGAAAATGTCATTGCTCCATGATCAATATCAGCTCTTGACAACGCGCCTTCAATGCGACCTTCACTTTTTTCAAATTCTTGACCCAAACCGGTTTCAGAGTTACTTTCACGATCAGTTAGTTGATCAATTATTGTTTGGTATTTTATAATCTTTAGGTTGAGATCGGTTTCTCGTCGTGTTAGCGCATCAATTTGTAAATCTTTATCATGACTTATACGTCGTGTAATCTCTCGGGACAATACTTTACACCTATGAAGACATTTAAAATGGCAATAGCACAAAGAAATCTGAGTTTTTTAGTAAATACATACCTTTCCTGCACTTTATCTTCTAAAATAAGTTCCCAGCGCGCTCTTTCTTCAGCAACAGCCTGGGCTTTATCTAACTCGAAATTTTCAGTCATTTGTAAAAATAATGTCGAATCTAATGCAAAATCGGAGCTTCTCTCCTTCTCTAAAGATGTTAATGAAGGACTTTTCTCCATAGTAATCATCTTGAACCTTTCAAATCAAAAATTATATTATTACTTGACTTACTAGAAACAGTAGAAATAAACAAGTCAAAATATTATATATAAGTTAGTATTAAAATTGTTATACAGGGAAATTAAAATGGCGTTATTCCTCTGGGTGTTCCGAACCAAAAAAAAAATAATTAAAAAAAAAAACTAACCCAAACTAAATGCCCGAGAGCTTGTATGGATTTTTGAAATTCTGATCAGGTGCTGTTTAACTTGCATTTTAAATTGGTACTGGATGGGCCCACCGAAATAAAAAGTTTAGTTAAAATATGTATTCTTACCTAGACTTAATATTATCTAACTCAGTACGATGGTCCAATTCTTTTTGTTGTAACTGCTTAGTAAGTGTCTCGATTTTCGATGCTGTCTCCGTATTTTGTTTATCCAATAGTGCCTCTAATGACTTTACTTTAACACTGGTTAGCTTTAAATCGTTTTCCAGTTTCTGTGTTCAATAAAGACACAAACATTATTTTGCATGCAACGTAATTTTAATACATGTTTTGTAGCATTGAGACATAGTGCCATAACACTTTCGTCACATTTCACATCTGTAATATATCTGAATAACTTCTACTACCAACTCTCCAAAAACCTCTATCTAAGCAGTTAATGTGTTTATGTAATTTATCTCAAATTTGGCGTGAAAGTTTATGTGCACACACACATAGGATGTATGAAAAACGAGCTAAAACAATTAAAGGCTTTCGTTATCAGCAGAGCCGTCATGAGCTGTTGAAATGGGCAAGTACAGAATTCGACATGTGACAACCTCAGGTACACCCAGGACCTGTCTAGTTAGAGTCTATTAGCTCTCATCAGCTCGGTTTAGCCTGAAATTAGCGATTCCGAAACCTGCACTTTATAATGCCAATGTGTTCGCATCGGCGTGGAAACTACCTACTACCTATTTCAATTAACAAAGCAATTTTAAGAACCAAATTAAACAAAAAAATAATAATAAATCTGGATTCGCAAATCTGCTGTTTACTTTGAAAAAACTAAAACTTGTTTTTATTATTTAATAAATATAAGACCATTTACGAAAACTACTCGAAAATTTCCTGACTGGTATTTTCCTGTCACAGCACGCAATTTCATTAATGGGATTCAAATCACATATGATACAGAGTGTACTTTCCATATATCAACATTTAAAAAAAAGTGAAAACACCCTATTGTACTTTTGAATACTGTACTCGAAGCCAATTTTATTTTTCTTTAATTTGAAAGCTGTCAGGAGATATGTGAACAAAACTGATGTATGACAGATTTTTTAATGACTCTTAGTACTGTCAACATTAATCTGACAATAACATTAAATCGAAAAGTTGTAGAACAATGCATGCCAAAAAAATGATATTTCTACAAATTAACTGTCATTTTTGACATATGACACAAACTTGGCAAATGGCAATTTTTATATCCCAAAAGTTTTTAATCTGATTAATTATTTTGCCGTCCTTTCTTAGCTAATGTCTAATGTTAAAATTAAATAAAAGTAATAAACAAACACCATCATGGTGAAAGCAGATACTTACTCTATTGTCGCGATCTAATCTTTTAATCAGTTCTTCTTTTTCCATTAAATTGTACTGGTACTGGTCTTTTTGTTCAGAGCATTCCTGCCTCATGCATCTTACGATTTCTTGTTCATTTTTATCAACCTCTATCAGCAGCGTCTCCCAAGAACTACCCAAATCTCCATACTGCTGAGATAAAGACCGTGACTCAGTTTCAAACTGTACCTTAAAAGTGTTAAGGTCTGTGCGCAAATTTGCCGTTGCCAGTTTTGCAATTCCGCTCAAGTTAACCACAATGTTCTTGAGCTTTTCATGTTCTAATCTTGAAATTTGAAGATTTTCCTGAAAAAAAAGCACAGTTTTTTAGCAAAATAATTCATATTTCGATATGTTAAATATACATCTGTTTGCATGTATCATAAGAACGTGGTTACATCGAAACAATCTTTAACTTCTGATGACACGACTATTTTAAAAGTTCACGTATTTCAGATCCATTATATTATGGGATATAGAAAACTAATGAGTCAATGAAAATTTAATGCATACAAATACAAAAAAAACTCTACGCTACTATCAACCATACTAATAACAAAAAGTTCATTAGATACCAGAACCTTCGAATTAAAATTCGAAGAGGCAAATTCGACGATATTGTCTTGTTGTCTACTAGTCAAATAGTAACAAACATTTTTATTTTTCTGAAAGCGTCAAACAAAGTACTTCTTTGTTTGACGTCGAATTATTCAAACTTATGGGTAGAGGTATTCTTATGTAAAAATTAGTCAATTCATAAATTTGTAAGTTCTGTGGCAAAATGAGCTATCAGGTCTATTAAATGACGAAAACTATTTTTCAATATCAAATTCTTTTCGATTCGACGAGTGTATATTTTAGTACAGCAAAAAGAAATATATAATATTAGATACAATTTTTTGGAAACTTTAGAAAGTTCGATATTTACAATGTGGTTTTTTTTTTGTAAAATTTATCCTGAACTGAATTGAAATCACACGAAATATATCGAATACAATAACGATAGAATCATGCAAATAATTATCGTGCGGGTAAATCAATATGCAAAAAATGTCTAATTTTTAATTCTCTTACTAGCCTACTCTTTTCAAAATGGCTCTGAAAAGTCACATAAAATGCCAACCATAACATGAGAGAACGTTTCCAACGCCAATTCATAAACATAAAACAACAAACATAAATAATAATAAACATTTTCAATATAAAATATATATATATCTATAACTCTATGGACCAATTAACCGATAATATAAGAATAATTAAAAGTGTTAAATAAAACCTCTACCCTTTACAATAGGATAAAAATAACAAATAGTACGAAATAACTTCTCATTTACCGGAAAAGGTGGACCGGGAGGAGACGGTTTTAGCGAATGGTCGATTAGATACCACAACATGGTCAAACTACCACAAATCCAACAAAAAACATTTATGAAAATATTAAAATAATTTCACAATTGTTTTTGGGAAGGCAGGATTTTCATACAGGTATATGACATTTATTTACTTACTTCGGTGCAAAATCAAAAACTAAAGTATCAAATTTCAAAAGTTGAAGCTCGTAACTTATATTTAGAACAGCAAATAGCAAATTTAGAGCAGAACTAAATTAACCGTAAGTTAAAGCAGAGTTAAAATGGACGGAAAAGTTTTTGATTTTTGACCTTAAACTTATGGGCAACATACTCTGTTGAAATAGTCGTCATCTCATGATAGAGTTGTAACGTAACGGATGCAATGCATTTCAACGATAAAAAGCAAATATGGACAAACAACTAAAGTTAACTGTGCGGAACTAAGAAATAATAAGGAAATGTAGAAGAAAAATAAGTAAAACGACCGGGGCAAAAGAATCAAGCGACAGATACCTGAAGCATCGCGATAACAATATTCGCGGTATCCAACTGTCTGACGAATTCAGATCCTTGGCTGTTGCCGGTGCCGACACTAGAAGGCATGCTTTCATCGATATAGTATTCGTCAGTGGAGAAATCGGACTGCATACCGGTGTTAGGAGAACTTGTTTCTTGGAATAGAACATCCCTCGGACTCTGAGGTGAAACTGACTTTGAACGACTAAGCATCAAACCCGAGAGCGCGCCGCTCTGATGTTGAAAAAGTGTATTAGCCTTTGGGAATGTCGACAAACTGGTAGAATCCAAAAGATGTATGGAAGTACTAGTACTAGATAGTAGATTTGAATGGTCTCTACTTTTGGATTCATTATAGTGTGAGTTAAAACAACTGTCAGTGTTATTTGTAAAAACTTTTAAACTGGACATTTCGTCGATAGAGTCAAGAGAACTATTTTTCAAGTTAGTGAAGCTTTCATTCATGCTAATGCTCAGAGTTCGTGGCGTAGAGTCCGTTTCAAACGATTGAGTGGAGCGAAAGAATCGCGGGGTTTTTTTAGGAGGATATACTGGATTTCGTACCTGTAATGCAAGCAGTATTAGCGGAAATAAACTCATAACCAATTCATATTGATAATACACAATCAATAAGTTAAAAAGCACCCTTTCACAAAACCTACCTCTGTGATAGTTGAAACGTCGATTTTTTCAGTAACTTTGGATTCAGTCCCAGTGAATTCACCTTGAGGAAAACCAAGTTCCATAGGACTTTGACCCACTTTTTCAAATTCTTCTGTGTCCGTTTCGGACTCACAGCCCCTATTTTAACAGAAACCACATTCTGGTTATAAATGAAAATGAGCTAGTACGAAATATTTGTCAAGCAAAATGGTGTCTGTCTATTTTTTATATATTAATGATCCGGCTCTATTGTTTAAAATTTATTATTGGTTATCCCATATTAAATACTATTGAACGCTTATTGTCCAGGCCACAATGCTAAGTGGTAAATACATAAAATATTAGTTAGATATTAGTTAGCCAATGATATTACAGGTTACTTAAACAATTGTTTTGGCAGAAACTGCTCTTTATGCTTGTTCGTGGTTCCATAACGCGCAACATTGAAGCAATTATATAACAACGGTTATGTGAATACACATTTTGATATTTTAGTCACTGGAAAGCGTTAACAATGCAAAGTTTGTAAAACAGAAATGTTAGCCAAAAAGTCTAGTTAAAAAATGTAATAACACTTACTTGTCATCTTTAGGAACCGATACCCCAGGAGCGGAAACTAAACAAGATTCGCTGCTTGTTTTCAACATATTCTGATCTAATTGGCTAGCAAGTCCCACATCAGATACTGCTTGGATTAATTTATCTTCAATGCCCCGAAAAATATCATCTACCTATAAAATGAAGGAATATGTAACATTTGAGTAATAACCAAGTAATATAACTTTAAATACTGAAAAATATTGTATGACGGTCTGAACTGATTTTCAGGAAAAAACTCCAGTCGGTCAGTCAATTGCCAAGTTTCGGAAAATTCACTACTATCTTCGGAGCTAAAATATATAATAACATCAATTGTTACTGATATCTTCTCCTCGATATTGATTTTTTATTCGACTATCGACTGGAAAGTTTCTGATCAAAACAAGCATTCAGAATCATCAATGTTTCCTAACTTTCAAAGTTTTATAACAACTCGGCCATCCTAATTTTATTATTTATTAGCAACTTTTTTTATAGCTGATCATGTAATGTTTTCGAACAAACAATTTAGAAAAAAATGTTTAAAAAATCAAAGTAGTCAATCACTAGTAGAATAAGAAATTTTTAAAATGTTCACGACTGTCGTCAAAAAGTAACCATTTTATTTTCATATAAATAGTTAATTAATAAAACAATACCATAAATTAGATTTAACTGTTTTGAAACAGGGCAGATAGACCGATTAGGTCGACAGCCTTCTCTTACGAAATCAATTACCTTCTCTTTCCCAGAAACTTTTCCAGTAAAAAAATTTGCAACGTGACTCATGTCAGGAACAATCAAATTCTCTATAAAATCGGGAACTTGCTTCCGAAGTTTCTCAATATCTTCAGCGCTAACGTTGGGTAGCTGAGCGTCGAACATAGTGGGTGCCTCTGTAGCAAAAGTAGGCGGGATATCACTCATTCCAGGGAAAAGCGCAGAAAGAAAATGTCCATCAAATAAGGCATTAAAATCCTTTCTTCTCGTAACTTCTTCATTATAAATCGTAAGTTGTTGACAGGCAAGATCAGATGCCCACTAAAATCGTTGGATATCATGGCATTAAAAAACATAAATCCAGCATAATAATTGAAAGATAAATGTGCGGGCATGATAGACAGTTAATTCTGATCAGATCGATCAACTGGTTACTTTCGGCCAATTTCAATGCCTCTTTAAAAATATGTGGAAGTCTCCAAACTACATTTTAATTTAAAAAATTCGACGTAAAAAACACCTTTTTTTCAACTCAATATAACTAAATTGAAAAGTGACTAGAAGATTGAGCAGCAACTCTTATTGAATAGTTTCTATAGTTTGAAAACTTTAGAGAGTAATGGAGTTCTTCGTTACACATTGAGTGGTTAAAATTTTGACGACTTGCATATGTCGATTACTTACCAGCAAGAACAATTGTGAAAATAATCGTCGTCTGACCACTTCAACTAATGCATTCATATAGATTATTGGAGCAATATGAAGCTGCTGAAACACTTCTAAATGTTTTCGTAATCTTTGTAAATGCTCATGAAAATATACTAATAGATTATCCAACTCCCACAATTTTCCCTCTACTTGTTGAACCCAACTAGAAAAAAAAATACCATTACTTCCTTTCAGTACCTAAAAGAAAATACTGTTGAAAGATGAAAGAATCTAGGTGAACAGGGTGACCAAGATAAGGAAGCATTGCATGGGAATCTCCAAAACCGAAAGAGATACGAAGTCATTTTCGCATTTAAGCATTTTCGAAAATCAGGTATTTCTTGTAATTTTTAAAGATGTTTGGAAAAATATGATTTTTCGGACTTTTGTTTTTTTGGTAAACAAAAACTTTCTCATGGCACTTTTTCGAGCTCCACAAGACTGTGTCTATGAAAATTTATTACAACGTTCCGATTCTTTGAAACCATTATCAACTTTTGTTTTTCATATGGACCGAAAAAAAGTACATAACGATGTATAACAGTATTATTTGTTACTGCTCTTCTTCTTCTTCAAGTGCCATACTCTCACCCGAGAGCGTAGGCGACCTCTCGCGCATACTTGTGGATCGCATCTTCCTCAATTATACGGATCTTACCAGACAAGGGTATCCGTAATCCGAACGGTACTAGTTGAGAGGTTTTTCTAGGCAGAGGCGTGGTAGTGGTCACAGTATAGCTGCGCGAAAAATCTTCACGGCCTGGCCGAGGATCGATCCCGGGATCTTAGACATGGGAAGCGGATGTGTTCACTACCACACCACTTTGAGCACTTACGGTACTCGATTCAAAAAAATATTTTTTTATATATATATTATGTCTTTGGGACAACTTAATCCTTTCTGAAGTCGTATTTTCTTCAAATATCCACGTCTTTCGTGAGATTTTAGGAGAAGAAATGAATGGCGCTGAATTAAAACTAATGTTTTCCACTTACCCAATTCTGAAGCATAAGCTTTTACTCAATTCAAATTTAGCTTTGATTATGCGATTTCTATCTTCCATTAGTTTCTCGTGAGTTTCTAGTATTAAAGTCAATTGATGCATATGACTAACAGACAACTCAGGAAGTATTGAATTGTCCTTAATATTAGTAACACTCTGTTTATGCTACAAATGTAAAAAAAATACGTAAAAACAGGAAAAAGAGCGCAGCTAAATTGTTTAATGCGAAAATTCAACAGCATACTTGTAAAAAACTTTGCGCCATCGTAGTCTGACATTCAACGTAAGCCTTTACTTTTCTGACCAGATCATCCAAATCGCACAGTCGCTTCTCCAGTCCTTCGATTTCTTTCCTTTCTGTTGTCTCAGCATTAAGCAAAGCCTCATCAATATTTTTTGTTAAAGAAGGCATAATTTCCTGTTCGAACTAGAAATTAATTTCAATTCAACATAGTTTAGAGGTAATTTTAATAATGCGAATATGAAATTCACCATCTAAGGACGGAGCTACAAAAAGTACCTTGCTCAGACTGGATTTGCAAAGTTCGTATAATTCGTCCAGCGAATTTTTATTGTCAGATGATATCCAGTCATATAAAGTAATTTCCTTGTCGGATTCTGATTCTGATACATTACTAGCTATTTCAGACTTTGACTCTTCCATTGTGTTGTTTCCCGATTCCAGTAACGTCGCAACTACTGGTATTTTTTGGAGAATTCTCTTGTCAGCTTCAAAGCTGGAAACAATTATCTATATGATATAAGTAAGTTTTCAGTTGAATTTTGTACAAGTGATCCAATTCTGTGCCTCAAACGGAACATAATCTCCTAAAAGCAACCAAGAATCGATCTCTTGATTTGGAAGAGTTGTGGCTGGAGTTGGAAGAGTTTATCTAAATATTTTAAAAAATAGGTATTTTCTTACTGCTTTTAATCTGTATATAGTTAATAACTGCTGTTGCTATAAAATGTATTATTTATTAAAATATTGCAAGGCAGGAATGATTGCAATTATCGAATAAATTCATTCATTGAATAGGGCGCGCTTCTAGGCTTCTAGTGCAGCGTTGGAAAGTTACAAATTACAAACTTAGATTATTTGGGTAAAATGCAGGTTTCTAGTTAGTATGAACTAATTTAGCGACTTAAAATAAATCTTTCAAATTGGAGAGCTCGGCAACTTACAAAGAATTGTAGTACCATCAGCTTACCTTACGAGAAAGTCATCGTAGGTAGCACGGTCCGCTCTAAATTCTCGGTACATTCTTTGGAATAACTCCCATCGTTTCCGAAACTCCATTCCAATGTCTTCTAGATTAGCTATAACAGCAAACCACCCTGAAATAACAATAATAAATAAATAATATTGATGAGAGACCTATAGCGGCAACATGGCAAAGAAGCGAGCAAGCGCAAACCGTCGGTACTCCGAATGATGGTTAAGAAAATATCTGCGTTGCGCCGTTAAACGCTAGGTGTTATAACACATTGACACAGAGAGCGGTATCAACATGAAAGTGTCACACAACACCGAGTTATCCGTTCCTAATTTGCAGTGGCTCATTAGAAATATTAGTTTAGTTCTCGAAGTAGTGTTATAAAATATTTGGCATTGTTTTTTTAGACAAGCACACATGAAATAGTTTACCCAAATATAAAGTTGACATGAAAGACATGTGAAACTAACATGTTTCTAAACAAATCTCTGTTTAGGAGCGTGGTTTCAGTGATTTGTCATTAAAAACTCATAGAATCGTAAATTTGCCGAACTGAAATGTTGCCTAATTTTAAGCATGTTTTGCAATATTTTATTTGTACTGTTTAGCTCTAGTTTATATATACTAACACTCTGTATACGAAATATTTAGTAATTTGAGTTAGAAAACACATAAATGTTCGGATATTTTACAATGCATGTTAAGCAGCAATCTAGACAAATCAAGGAAATGCGTTACGGAAACCCATTGTAAAAGCAGCCAAATTTTTCGCACTTCCCCTTCATCTGGAACTTTAAAAAGTTCCATCTGTCTCGAGTAGTAGATGAAGAAGGGTGTATGTTCTAGCAACATTTGCGCATAAATATTTCCTTTTTAATATCATACTGCGTAGATTCAAACATTAATATTTGTCAACAAAAAACTGTTATATATAATAACAAAATATATCTGTTCGTTTTTAAATTGTGTACAATGCATGTGAAAACTCGTAAACGCTCATTGGAAATCAGAGATATAAATTAAACTATATTATCGCAAAAACTCTCCAGAGTAATATGTACATAAATATTAGGCATGGGGAATCAGGCAACTCAGTGAGTTTTCAGGAGTTGGCGCAGTAGTTGGAGGAAAATAAAGCTCTGACAAAGTTGTAAAACGTTACTCATAAAAAATATGGTAACTTTTTTTGGTGATAAAATTCAGGTCGCCGCTCTCGAAAAGCTTTAATCCGTCCCTCAATGCTAAGCGTAATTCAAAGTGCAGCGCAGTGAGATGCGATGAGTTATAACTCATTAGCGCACAGAGCGGCAGACACTCAAAAGCACAACTCGACACAGTATTACCCATGCCTAATAAATATATGACAAACTTTACTGACTCACACATATACTCACAGTATACATTAGCGCAAAAATATACATACCCTGTTGTTGTAAATGTTGCTCATGAACCAAGTTTTCGCAAAACTCCAATTGATCCTTGGCTGCAGACGCGAAATCTTGAGATACCAAGGTGCGTGTTTTCACCGTGTTAACAGAAATCGGCAAGCATCGGGCATCTATCAGCCGCTTTCTTAATTCTTAAAATGAAAAATAACATAATAAACATTTTATTAATAAGCAAACTAATTTAAAGCAGATTATTGCCAATAATCTAATACAAGGTGTCAAAAACCCAACAAGCTTTGAATGTTTAAGGGTAACTGACCAATATGAAAAAGTTAATACGAATAAGCTACCATCAGGTGCTAGCATATCATACCTGTTACCTGGTAAAATACTGCAAAAAGCAATTTAATGTAATTATACTGCTTTTTGCAGTATACACAGTAAATAATATTTAACCGGAGCCATTCTCTAATTTTAGTTTAGAGAGTTTTATAGGTTTGAAGAGAAACATGTTCTGGGACAAAACCAGTTCAAGTCAACAGTTAGAAAAAAGTCCTTCTAATAATTGAGATTATATTTTACAAATATTATGACAACTGGTCAACAACAGCTACTGTTCAAAGATCAATAAAAAATTATTTTGAAAACAAGTTAAGAAAAATAACCTATTCAGTTATTACAAGATTATTATGAATTATTGTTATGAAATATTGTTAATACCTTCATGACAATCATATAGCTTTGGTATAATAATTAAAAAATTACCATTCTGGTATTTCTATTTTCGAAAAGTTTCCGAGATTATTGACCTCAAGTAAACGACAAAAGCACAAAAAAAATTAGTTACTTGTTCCCGAGTTACTCTTGTCTGTAGCGATTCAGCAGAAACTGGTTGTCTCAGAAAAGCCTGTTTAACTTAAATTCATGTTGCATAGATTTAAATTCTAGCTCAATCACAATGCGTTTTTCCAGTGCGTTATTGCCAGCTAAGACTTACCTTCATCATCTAACTGAAGATATTTTCCACTATCTAGTTGTGACACGTCAAAATTTGTTGAGAACAAGTAAATAGGATTGGTATCAGTGCCAGCCATATATGAGCATAGATTCTTACTTGAATCTAAAGGCTCTCCACCACTTATCAAAAGTACTTGTCGTTCTATGGGAATATGGCATTTTTCGAAAATTTTTCTCTTGAGATCTGCCACACTAAAACCCCAGAATTAAACAAATTAACATAAAAGTACATTTTGTTTTAGCCGTAACGAAGAATATACAATGTGCCCCATTGAAAGTTTGCACCCGACATTCCTTAAACTATCATCTAAAATCCTGAAAATTGTAGGAGCACGTCGATCTCTCAATAATTAATTTTAGTTTAACAGAAGTCGTATGGTGCTATAATGAGAGCGTCATCTGATTTGAAATATTTTTGCTACTGTTGGATAATCTGGTTTAATTTATTGGTTTGATAAGGGAACTTTGTTTTCCTTGCATTGGATAGGCAAGTGCACTGTCGTGAGCAAATGGATGTTGATTTGTCTATTCGTGTTTGGTCACACATATAATGGCTGTATATGTCGTGATACTACAATAAGCCGTTGCTTGGCTAAAAACAATATCGAGGAAGTATTTTGGTGTTGTCCAGTCTGTATAACTTCTTTAGCTGCCGACTGTGCCATAGATTTCAAAGGCATTTATTGTTTATAAATAAATTTACTTAATAAACTGAAAATATCAAAATTGCCGTCCGGTTTGTAATCTAACATCAAATGTTAGAAAAGAGAAGTATTCTGAATAATTATAAAGTTATACTGAAGACAAATTTGCAACAATGGTTTAGTCACTATTAAATTCTCAAAAACGAAGGCGAGGATAATTTCTTTTAGATATTTAGTACAATGCTTTTCCAAATGTAACCCTATTTTCACCTTTAAGTGTCTGTCTGATAAACTATTAACCGCAGAGCCAATAAAACTTCTATCAAAATTATCCTTATTTGAAAGAGAGCGAACTGCGATTCATATATCCCATAAAAAAATAATGTTGATATGCCACGGATTTTTGAAAACACCGTGCATACCAAAAATAATTTTAACGGTCAGCCACTATTTCTGCCAATATCGCATAAAAAGTTATCTCAAAATTACACTCCAGTTAGCTGTAATCTTTAAACAAAAAATAGTTTTGTTTCCATTTTTAGGAACATTCTTTCTTTCTTCTTTAGGAACAACAACTTATTTGCATATCAATTTTTGATTTCAAGAATTTTCGTTTCTATACTTTTCTGTGGAAAATAAAGCTGTAATCTGCAGTTAATTTATGCAT